GGAAAGTTAAAAATGTTTTATCGAAGAAATCTTTTGTGTAAAATTTCTTTGTGGTTGGACACGTAGAAAATAACAACAAAGAATTTATTCTTTTGCAAGTAGTTCCACGATATTGACATTCTTATTACTTTGGTTATATGAAATCAATTTTATTTATAGAAAGTTATTAAAAAAAACTATCGATAATACTTCGGTTGTGTCTTATCGCAAAAGACCAAAATGATATAAAGAGTAGATAAGAATTTAATTTTGATAAACTAGAATAAACAAAATGAAATTTTTTACCTTGATAAATTAGGTTAAGAATTAAGCAAACTTCACGTTTTTCTAATCGTATTTATTCAACAACAATTATCTCCAAGCAATAATTACCTATAATCATCCCATTTAATTAACATATTCAAACGATAAATCACTTTCAACAATCCTATTTTATAACTGTGTGTCGAAATTATCGAAGGCGAAGAGAAGACGAAAACGTTTTATTTTATTTATTTTTTTTTTGGCGCCGATCCCAAAAGTACAACGAAATCGACCCCAACGAAATTACATTACAATTTATTCGTATTTATGCGCATTTATGCTTATCGACAACGATCCGCAGTTTGAAAGACGCCGAACAAAATTGAAATGCACGAGTGAAAAACGAACCGTACACATTGCGATCTAGAAACAACGTTAATTTAAAGTCCTTTTGAGGAAGGACAAACCTTGAAACACCGACGTGCAATTTGAAACGGTATTTAAAGAGTAGGACTGTTTGTTTCTTAAATGGGTAGAGAAAAAAATTGCATAACTTGTAATTAAAGACGGATTAAGGAAAATAAATGATTATGGGTTGACTTTTTCTTAAAGGAAAATAAATCGTTTCATCTAATTAGATAACGATCTAATCTTATTTTAAAACTTTAATAAGTGTTAGTAGGATGATTCATTATTTATGTTATTGTCTTGTCTATTATTTTTTGATACATTGTTACTCGTTTCTTATATTCTATAAGTTGTTTCAAGGTTGTTCGCGATGTCTTCAAATATACAAAATTGATTGCTGTTAGCTTATAATATAACCATATTTTGTTTGGCCTTTCACTAGATTTGCGATATATATTCATCCTTTATCAAAAAGTTAGGTGTCGACATATTTGTGTTTTCCTGTGCTGCCGTCTGGTGAGATGGAGTTGGTCTCCTTGACTTTACTTCTCTTTTTCATAGTGTTGAGGTTGTTACATGATTTATGGGAGTCATCTCGCTATTGAGGATGAATTTAAGTTTTGTATGAGTCGTCGAAGTCTTTTTGGAGCAGAAGGAGGAATTTGGGTTTGCGAGGAAAAGAAATGTGCTTTAGATTACTAGTATTATTGGAGAGATGATGAATAGAATCAGAAGTAGTTGAGGGAACTGGTGCTAGTTGGGGTAATACCTTGAGATGACTTAGCCACCTACTAACTCATCGTAAAATACGTTGGCAAAGAAGAAGGCAGTGAAGGAGGTAACAATGAGGTGATTATGGGAAAATTGGAAGTCATGGAAAGACTGCAAACATGGCAAAATAAGATTGAAGTTCGTATGTACCTGTTATCATTGTACCTGGATGTGTCTCCTTGATTTTAGTGATAGCTGAGCTACCCGGTTTTCTCTATTTCATAGCATTGAGGTTGTTACATGATTTATGGTAGTCAACTTATTGTGGCTGAATTTAAGTTTTATATAATGCATACTGGACAAATCAAGAAGAGAAAGTGAGGGAGATAATAATGAGGTGGGTATGAGAAATGTTGTAGCAAAATAGAAATCAAGTTCTTACGTACTTGTGGCAGGAATAGCAAGGTCTAAGATCCAAACGTCAATTATAAATACTGATTTAAGTCTAATAAATATGTCCGGACGTCACTAATGTCCTCAAACAGTAATGAATTTAATGCGAATGGTTAAGTTACACGACCGATATCAATGGACAAATCCATCAAAGTCGTGCTCGCTACTGAATTTGGCAAGTCATTTCATAATGGAGTCACAAAGATTGAAAGTTATTTTGGGAATGTTTACGTTTTAGAAAAGCTTACTCGAATTGTGGGTGAATGGAACATAAACAACATTTTTCTATTAGATAGGGATAATGCAGAAAATATGGCTTGTGCAAGGCGTATAGCGCTATTTGATTCTATACGTTGTGTATCTCACACTTTCCACCTTTATGACCAGCTGGTTATAAATGATAAAAATCTGCAGAAAAATAGTAGTTCACTTTCAATGGAGTGAACCAGAAATCTTACAGATTGTCAAAATCAGTATAGACTTCCCATTTGTTCTATACTACCAGACATAGAAGTACTTTGCCTTATCTTGTTCCTTACATAACTAACGTTGCAACGATTTGTTGAACAAAAACGTGCATTATTAAGATCTTATCAGCCTATCTCAAGATTTGAAGCGTTTCATATCTTATTATGAACTCATTAAGGTTGTAAGTAGTGATGGAACATTACTTATTTGATGCTGATTTAACTAACGAAGTAACTCTAAAGCGCCCTTCACACGATCAATATATATTGTCAATATCAGAGTATTGACAATATTATTGAACGTGTGAGTAGAAAGATTGACATATTGTCAATATTGAAAATATTGATGGCATGGTTTGACGAAAACGAAAATATTTGATATATTGACACATATTCGCGAACCTCATTCAACAAATTTATTTGAGAAAACTTGTCTCCCTTTAGAAGCCATTCCCTAGCCCATATTCTCTTTTGCTTCCGGCGTTTTATTGTTAAAGCTAAAATAATAGCTACACAAGCTTTTTAACGATATGACATCTTTGACCGCCAACGCAAAACTAAGTAGATTGTCAATAAATATTGATAGTCTGAGGCTATTACAGTTTGTCAATATTTATTGCATATATTGACAATATTTTATTGACAATATATATTGATCGTGTGAAGGGTGCTTAAAAAGAGGATATTTTAATTAATAATTGCCGATATTTCCACAAGGATCCTTCAAGAAATTAATTTTATAGCGAATTTTGATAGTTATCGATGAAAATTGCAACATCGAAAATTTTATCAAAACTTCAAACATTGTTTTCTCAAAAACTAAAAGTTATTTTTCAAAACGGGTAGGTTCATTGGAAAGAGGACACTTTTATTAACACTTTGGGAAATTTTCATACTCATATTCCAAGAAATGGATTTTATACGAATTTTTAAATCTTAATCGGCGAAAATAGCAAAATTCGAAAAAAATTGTCGATTATTTCAAAAATTTATTTCTCAAGAATTAAAAGTGATTTTTCAAAACGGCTTTTTGCATTAAAAAGAGGATACTTTAATTAATAATTGGTGATATTTCCACAAGGATCCTTCAAGAAATTAATTTTATAGCGAATTTTTAAAGTTATCGATGAAAATTGCAACATCGAACATTTCATCAAAACTTCAAATATTGTTTTCTCAAAAACTAAAAGTTATTTTTCAAAACGGGTAGGTTCATTGGAAAGAGGACAAAATTGACGATTATTTCAAAAATTTATTTCTCAAGAACTAAAAGTGATTTTTGCAATAAAAAGAGATTAATTAATAATCCAAGTTAATGATAACACAGACAGTTCTGTTAATAAAAAATGTGATGATGAATTACAAGCGAAGAGAAGAAAACTAGACGAAACTGCACCAAGAGGTTTTATATATCGTATTGGGATTGTTACAATGAGGTTGCTAATGACAAATCTGATATAAATAAAGTTGTATTCAATGAAAAAAGTCCTATTGGGGTTGAACTTGATTATTATCTGCAGTGTCCAACATCTAAAAGAGATACTAATTCCTGTGAATGGTGGAGTACTAAGTAATAGGTTTTTAATATCCGATCAAAGCCGGATATCCGTTCCATCATTAGTTCTAAGTAATCTTGCAATCGACAAATCTTTCAAGAACTACCCGAATTGTAGCTACTTTATGACTATGTTTTTCTTTACTTTTGTTTCCTATATCATCCTTAGCTTAGAGTTCCTTCACTTTTGTATGATTAGATTTTCTTTTGTATCATTTTCTCTTGCATATGTTTCAGATTAAGACTATTATATTCGCATAACATTTTTTTTTGCAAAAGCTGTTTACTTGTTACACCTGTATCTTCTCGTTTATCCCAGGAACAGCTTTTACAATATTTTTATATTTACTCTTAGAATACAAACTTTATCTCTTCTGATAAGATAATCATTCACATAGAATCATACGCACTTTTCTTCAGTTTTGGGCTTCTCACTATTCTTGTAGATCCAATTGATATATATATTGTATATTTCCTGTTTTGTATATTCTTTTATTCGCAAAACCCTGACAAACCGTTTCTGACTGGTTTCAAACTCGAGATACCATTCGCCTATGTCAAATAATCACAAGCAGATCTACATTGACATGAGCGGCTATAAAAGGAGTTTCCAATCAATTAGAAATTATGATAGGAATAATCCTGCAATGACACCAATAAAACTAATTTTGCACGAAAAATGATGTATTTCAAGAAATATCAAATACTTATATGGGGATGGGCGTGGCACGCTCAATGTTCTAGTTATTATAATATGAACTTAAAACTTTATTTTACTTTATCTTGCTCTGATAAGTCAAAAAGATCAGAATCGTCTTTTTCTAAATAATGCATAAAGAAGATAATTTTTAATAATTTATGTTTACATATGTCTACTTGAAACTATAATTGTTTGTTAAACATTTGAAATAATTTTAAATATCTTTAACACCTTTTAATAACATTAAACGATTTAATAAAAATAAAAAGATTTTTTGATACATTTTTAATATCAAAATGAAAATATTAAATTTATTTTTAATTTTTCCATAATGTTATTGTAAATATTTTATAGATTTTCAACAAGGTAAAAGATAACGATCTAATCTTGTTTTTAATAAAACTTTTTCCAATTTTCCTTGTATTATCTAATCTAATTGTTATTATCAATTTATTTGTTTCAGATTCGTTTCACCTGAAGAATACAAACGATTTCGGTTACTTCACGGCGAAAAACCTTTACGTTTACCAGTGAGTTAGCACCTTTAAGTGGACTCGAAAACTATTTAAAATTTAAAAAAAAACTCACCTCTTTCTCTTCCCCCATATACGAAACAATTGTGATTTATTAATTAACTTTAAGTTTTATAAAAGGGTTCTTTTAAAGAACCTTCCTCCCTCTCATTGTGATATTATTAAAAGAAAAATAAAGCAAGAAAAGAAATTATTAAAATCCCTGAAAATGTACAATTTGGATACAAATTTGGCGGCGTCCAACGCGACCCTAAACACATTGCTGTGTGTTGAAACGGGGGCGACGCCGAGGACCCCGGAAATACTCAATTCGTTGATGGCCATGACGAACCCCTTGGACGGTTACAATTTTGGAGACGACGCTCCGAAACAACCAAAACATCATCATCACGGTACCAACACAAACAATAATAATTCGTTTACGTCGGCTTCGAGCGATTCGAATAGTTCAAGTTGTAGCCAGCTTGAATCGCCGACGAACAACGGCCCCAATAGCGTTCAGCAAACATGCTCGCAGTTAATCAAAGCCGGACTCAAACTGACGATCGAGCAGAAGCGAAAACACCAAAACGACAACGACGATATCTTGGACCTCGACCAGCAATGTAAGAGGATCAAGAGGAACGATTGTAGCGAAAGCGAAGAGGATAAAATTAATAATTCGGGGGTAAGATACACTTTATTTTATTTTATTTATAACTAGTCTAGTAATTAAAAAAGTATAGATAAAATATGAATAATGAAGATATTTTTGTAATTTTTGGTGATTTTAATCTTAAATTAAAATAAACTATGTACATATAATGAAAACTATGTACAGTTTTAGTTTCTCTTACAGTCGTAATAATAACAATAAAAACAAATTTATTCTGGCACGTCAGGTTTTGGTACAAACATTATTAATAAAATAATATAAATTAGATACTCAAATTATATGGAACTGTATGTTATCGTGCTGTCTTAAAATGTTTTTCTTTTATAGTGTTCTTCGATACTTTCTGATATCAATGTCCAACAATAATCAGCCACTATTTTATTTTTAATAACAACGTTTTTCAATAACAGAAATGTCTTGATGAAATATCTCACCAGTCTTGATGTAATTGTCAGATTTTGTGTTTCCTAGAAAATTTTGGGCTCTCTATTCAAATTGTGCATTATGTTGTAGACGTTTAATTTGGTGTCCTACAAAAATTCCCTCAAAAAGTTTTGCATTTGAACTATTGGGAAATTTTTGTTTCCCAATAGTTCCCAAGTTTTGGAAAGGTATTGGAATCCACGACCATTCTTATCCATTGCTTTGACGAAATTCTTCATCAAACCTAATTTTATGTGCAATGCGGTATAAATATTTTATTAGGTTCCACTAATGCCTTATGAAGTATATTCTTTTGTCCAACCTTTAACAACGTAGTGAGAATTTCTCAACCGACTGTCCCACTCACAAAGAAATCAGTAGTGTTTTGGGTACCCCAGTTGTAAACCGAGTAGAATTGCTACAACTTTGAGGTCAGCGTTGAAATTCTATTTGTACTAAAATTAATTAAATTTGGTCCCTCATATGGACTACGTGGCCAAGCAGGATGGATAGATAAACATTTTCTATGTGAAGAAGTCTCAATTTTGAAGCATGGATAAAAAGACGCCATTCTTCTGGGTGAGGTTGATGACCTAATGTCAGCATCAAGTCATTGACATTATTGCAGAATGAAAGACCTTCTTTGGTTGAAAAATACTGTGACAGTTCTTTCTGGCGATTAAGATACACAGAAATACGTGTGTCTGAAGCTAACAGCTTCCATCCTTGAAGTCTAGATCCTAGTATTTCTGTTTAAAATTTTGACAAATTCAGATCTCGAATAAGGTCATTTAATTCTGACTGATTTACTAAGTGAGGTTCGTCCTCTTGAGATGGCAAATATTCATCATTGCTGGTCGATAACTCGAAAATTTGTTCTTCTGCTTCTGTAATGGCATATTCTTCACTCGAAACACCTATAGGTTACTAAGGTGAGGCAAGGCTTCTGATTCAGATTAGCGTAACTAATCTTGTTCTTATGTTTATTGGAGAACCCGAAAGTTTTCGTGCAGCAAAAGCAGCAATCAGACAAATGATCCGTTTGTTCATGCCAAATCATAGGTCTTGAAAATGGCACAGTGCTGTTCTTACCATTTGACCCTCAGAGTAACAGCACACCGTGCGCAGCAAATGCGAGGAGACCATACCTTGTCTTAATTTCTAATTATAAATTTTCTGTTAAAGGCGTAATAATCCATTTATGTCGTTGGGAAGTGAATTTTCCACACATATAACAGAAGCTGTTGGGATTATTTGTACAGGGTGTCCCGTTAAGGGTACGGAGCGGCTGTATCTCGACAACGGTAAAGCCTAGAGGTTTGGGAAAGAAATCCTTATAGGCAAAGTGGCCAAGAGAAATAGCTGGAAATTATTTTGAAGTTCGTAATTCGACCGCTAGGGGGCGTAACTGCCATTGAGAAACATAAAATTCCCGCTATCTCAGAAACTTAGAAGGTGAGCTATAATTTTGACAACATCATTTAATAGTCTGGATAATACCGCTTCGCTTTTGTTTTGTAATATTTCTCATATCTGTCATAATAAGGGAGGGGGAGGCCAATGCGTTTTCATATGTTTACATTTTAATATCTCCTGAACCATTCAACCGATTAGAATATTTTCGGTGTTGTTTGAAAGAGCATTTTATGCTCTTTTTAAAGATATTTTCAGTAAGACCGTTTGCTTTAAAACAAATAAGCTAGAGGGCGTTATCTGCAGCGATTACATATTTTTGTGATTTTTGAAGAAAAGTTAAATGGAACGGTACTAGTTACTTTACTGGCCCTTAGTCACCTTGAAATTTGCTAAATTTTAGTGAAAACCGCATCTCGATATCGCCACCCGTTTTCGAATTATAGAAGAAAATGTTAAAAACTCGAGTGCCATCAATCGGATCCAGTTATCTGATCGAGAAAAACAGTTCACATAACCATGGTAACTGTAAACATGTCCTTTACTAACACAGAAGCGTATGATAGAGCGTATGATGATTTATTTTCAATGTTTCGAATACGATGCAACTGCATGGCAAAAATGTGCAATGCAATTACGACAAAGAAAGACATTTTTCTCTAGAAGTGTTTTTAAGGTTGACTTAGCGATTACGGAAAACTGGCACAAAAATATGTAACCGCTGCAGATAACGCCCTCTAGCTTATTTGTTTTAAACCAAGCGGTCATACTGAAAATATCTTTTAAAAGAGCATGAAATGTTCTTCCAAACAAGACCAAAAATATTCAAATCGGTTGAATGGTCCAGGAGATATTAAAATGTAAACATTTGAAAACTTATTGGCCTCCCCCTCCGTTATTATGACAGATATAAGAAAAATTGCAAAACAAAAGCGATGCGGTATTATCCAAGCTACTAAATGATGTTGTCAAAGTTATAGCTCATCGGCTAACTTTTTGAGATAGCGGGAGTTTTATGTTTCTCTATGGCAGTTACGCCCCCTAGCGGTCGAATTACGAACTTCAAAATAATTTCCAGCTGTTTCTCTTGCCCACTTTGCTCATAAGGATCTTTTTCCCAAACCTATAGGCCTTACCGTTGTTGAGATACAGCCGCTCCGTACGCTTAACGGGACACCCTGTACACACACGTGACATTAAGAAATAAAAAGACGTTCAACTGTCACAAACATTGTAGACAGGCAGGTCTTTTGCATTGGTTTTTTTGTCATACGGTTTTCCGTCGTGGACATAAATCACATAATTTTCTCTTTTCTAGTACATTTTGATTAGAATCTACTTGGTCGTGCTATAATATTGTTCCTTATTTCTAGAGATATGTTCTAGTTGTTTGGCTAACTGTTTCGCAAATGCTGATTTCCTGGTATTTTTGGATTGTCTCTGTTGCTTTGGTGTAGAATGCGTTAACAATAGATATGTCAATCATTCAAAAAAATTGTTGCCATAGCTTATTGCCATAAGCTATTTACGTGTTTGACGATTTGTAGAGCTTTTAGCGCATTTTTCATCGAGCTAATCAACACCACCTTTAGTTTTATTATAGAATTCTAGTATCTCCGGTTTGTTATTATCAGGATCATTGAAAATTCTATTGTGCATTGAAGAAATTAAAATGGTTGGTTTAGTTTTGTAACTTACATGAGAAATCATGTGAAATCACTTCTTTTTATCTGTTCGGTAAACATTCTCTTGGATTTTCTCTTTAAACTAACTCGGCGAGCATGAAAATCAATTGTCCGCCGTTATGCTGCATCTGGTAGTGAATAAGGGTTTAGCAAGCTGTATTACGGATTGTGTTGGTTTCGAAAACCTTTGCTCTTCAGGTGAAAGTCCAATACCATCAGTATTTCTGCCACAATATATATATATATATATGCGTTGTACAGATAGCTTGTTCTGGCATCCGTAGGGCACATTATTTTAATTCTGTATTTGTCGGGATTGTTAGGCATGTAGACCTTGAAAAGGCATCGCCCTCGAAAACTAACAAGCATTTCGTCAATACACGCATATGACCCAATTGCATAACAATCTTGACAGTTATGGATAAATTGCTGAAATATTTCTAAAACTGCGGTTGTAGGTAATAGTAAACCAAATCTTTCACCACTCATTACAGCCCTAAATATTACCCTTTCAGTGCCATCAGTTGCAAATAATGTGTCCAGATTTTCATGATTTGATTTGAAGATCAAGGTATACACAAGCCATCCAATAAAATCTTTTAATTCCATAATATTAAGATCTTTCAGCTCAGTTTTATCTTGATTTTGTACACTCGGATCTTATTTTAGCAAGTCTTTTATTTCTCCAGCGTATAACATTAGTCATTTACCAAAGGGTCTGCTTGTATTCTGATGCTTTGAGATTTTTTTTTTCAAAACAATCACTTTGATAACTATGTTATATTGACGTATACGGGATGATGGATGTCTTCAGTTTTGCTCCATCTGAATCGATTTTTGCCATAAAAATGTTTGACACGATTTATCAGCGTTTCACTGATTGTTCTGAAGCAATCAGACTTATCGTAATTCTCCTCCAGGAGTAACATTGTCAATGTTACTAACATTACTATCTCCTTCATCACACCACTTTTGAAGTGCTTCATCAAAACTTAAGTTATCAAAACGCATTGGCTTTAACGGTCCGATAACTTGCAGTGCCATCTGTCAGGCAGTTTCGCAAGGAAGTTCTTAACTAACTAACCTGTTGTAAATCTCAAATATCTGAAACTTTGTGTACTATCTGTAAAATTTAATGTACTTTTGAAAAAGCTATTTAAAGTCATTTCCCAAAATCCTGACGTGTTGGAGCAAATTTAAAATTAGTTTCAGAATCAGCATGAAAAACGACATAATGATGGTGTATGAGAAAAAAAATGTGTTGGGCAACTTAATAAAACTAAAATCACCAGATAAACCAAAAATTTCTTCGAAAACATTATCATATAGATTTCTTTTTATTTAATCTTCGATAAATTAAGTTGGTGTGTTGGTGTTTTGTATTTTTTGTGGAAAGATGTGGGTCGTTTATTTCAGTGGTTTTCAAACTATACCATCCCGGATACGTTTACAAGAAAAACCGGAGGGATATCGACAAATTCGGATCATTGGGGGGATGTTGAAAGCAACAGCTATAGCTTCACGAGAAAAGTTAGTGAAAAACCAATCAATTTCCTTAATTTATTTTCTTACCAACAAAACAGAACGTTCACAACGTTAATTATACTTCGATTGAATTCTCATAGTTTGAGAACCACTCGAATAATAATAATTCAATAATTTACAAATCAAAAATTAACAGCATGCTATTTTGACTAACTCACATCTGATCTATATGTAAATATTAATTAAAAATTATTTGCACAATAAGCACGTTTATAAATAAACTAACTTATTACGAAAATATAAAATATAGTTTGCAAATGAAAGATAAATTCTCGGAATTGTTTATACAACTTTAAGGGATGTTTGTTTTTGGTTAAACATTGTTAAAATTGTGTACTAAAATTATCACTATTTAAACAAGATTATTGTTTTGTCAGTGTTCTAAGAAGTAAGATTTTCGCGAAAGAGATTAAAAGAAGAAACAAATAATAAGTTAATAACTTTTGTCTCTACCTAAAAAATGTATTTTTCATAATTTTCAACTCTATTTTGTGTATAAATAAATAAATTAGCGTGGGTGTCCTGTAAACACAAACTGGTTCGTTCGTGTAACGTTGGAATTCATTAGTTTTACGACTTTTTAAATGTCATTCCATTTAGTTTCAAGTACGAAGAATAAATTATTTTTTAATGATTTAAATCGATCAAAATTAAAGATATTTCACCGACTTTCTTTTTCTCGAATGATTTTGACGAGAAAAAGAAACGAAAGATTTGTATAAGGATGAGATTACAGTATATACAAATATTGATATGCTCGGTTGGAAAATTTGCATTAACAACTGGCCAAAAAAAATTCCGGAACGTTTAACGGTACAAGAAGAAGTAGCTCGAGCTCGGTTCTCGTAGCTTATGTTCTTGTTGTTGTTGGCGAATCGAAATATAGGCGAGATTGCGTGGGTTGAGAAAACGACGGATCGCAATTTTTGGAACGGGGCAATTTCTCTTCGAACACAAACAATACTACGACCTGACTTGTTTCTTTATTGTAGTTTTTTTTATATTTATTTCAACGACCTTCCTTTTTTGAAACCATTCCATATTACAAAATATAAAAAGGAATCTTATTCAATACATCTATTTAGTAATTTATTAGTAATTGTGTAAAAAATGAATGATATAATTAAATGTTGCATTTTGAGTGGGTTGGGTTGATCAATAAAATAAAAGTATTCTTTTTTAACCGGTGTAGGAGATCGACATTGAGGTTTTATTGTTAAGTTATTTATAGTGGATTCAATTTTCATTCATTTTCAATGTCTACACGTGCGTGACTTTGTGTTCGTTTAATGGTTAATTAACATGATTTTTTAGTCTAATGACTTTATTCATCTGTCCAAACAATCTAAATGATATTTCGACATTTATTCGCCATCCCAGTTGATTTATTTACACTTTTGGATTATTAATTAATACATTTTTAAGACTACCTTTATCTGGTTAACTATGTCGTCTTAGGCATTTACCTCTGTCAGTGTCTTCTAGCTTAATTTTGATATCCATCACAATTTAAATGATTTGGCAAAAACATCAGGTCAACATTCCAAGATAATCAATGTTAATGTCACAACTGGATAACGCCATAAGATTTTTAATCAACCCAAACATGATTTTTGAGGAAATTAATGCTTATTTGAATACGATGGGATGAAAGTTTTTTGTGTTTCCTGAAAAATTAAGTAAATGTCGTTTATACCGTTTTGGCTTGGAAGCATCGAAATCTAGAAGAAATTAGTCTGTCTCGACTGCGTTTTATGATTGTCAATACTTCCTCTTTTAACCTCATTGTTAATTTCTTCTTTCTATTGCCTCCACTGTACCTTACGTTGTTGGGTCTCAGATCCATTTCCTGTGGGTGTTCCTATCTCTAGCTATTTTTGACACTTGAGCAACACTTTTTCCTTTTAACGCCGTTTCATCTATTATGCCCGGTTCACATTGTTCCAGTCCAGTAATCAAGCACTGGATTAGCCGTCTACACTATTCCAATGACGCTGGAATGGGCGAGCTGGAATAAAAAAGTAGACTGTTCAAAATTGCTCATTGGAATGTGTGCATTCGAGTGCCGGTTCATATTATTCTAGTGAGATTCCAGCACTAGATTGGTTCACATTCCAGTAATATTCCAGTCTAGTGATCGAAACCAGTGCTGCAATTCCACTAGAACAGTGTGAACCGGGCATTACTTCTTCCTACTGGATTCTTAATTTACTCTGTTTTCTTTTTCCTTCTGGTTTCAAATCGACGATTTTCTTTGATCTATTTGAACCAGATGGCCACACCAACTCAGCTGTTTCTCTTTTATCTCCTCTACTAGAACTCTCTTAGTTCTTCTCCGATGCTCTTCCGTACTCCGTCTCCTTTTGCCACTATATTTATATTACATTATGTAATATATATTGTTATCCTTTTTTGGGCTATGCCTGTTGGGTAATAAAGGATTATTATTATTATTATTATATTTCACATTTACAACATCTCTGCTGCTCTTATTTTCGATTTGTATCTCTCTAGTGTTGTCTAAGATTCTCACGGTATTATTTATCTGATAGATTCCACAAACGTACAACACGTCACAAATGAAGAAGGTCTTTTGGTCCGATTTGTCCTCATTAATGACAAGTGGTCCAATATTCTCTTTCAAGTACTCTTTCTAACATGGTTTAATGCAAAGATTTTATATACATCACACTGGAAGCTTTTTCAGTAACTTTCATACAGGACTGAGATACAAATGTCTCTGCCTAAACAGGTGCTCTTTTTATAGTGATCTTTTCGATCAATTCGTTGATATTAAGACTCCCCATAAGAGCAACCCATTTAGTTTTAGTAAATATTGTAGTTATAGTTTCAATACCATCTTCCTGAGCGATACCACAAGCGGGCGAAGATTAAGCTTTTGCACTGTGAGCTTTGTGCATATCTCTGAAATCAATTCGAAGTTGTGCAACTTATTCCATTTGCTCCCAAGTCTTCCTAATTGAGCACACTGTAGCTTTTAGTGTCTTCAACGCACTAAAATAATCGGGTATCAATCTTAGCAACCTCAATGAAGTTGGACCCGAGGTTCCATTGAACTCCAATTCCTTTTTTGTCTTCAAATTGTGCAGTTTCCTGCATAGTTTCGTGTTACAGAACATTTAATAACTTTTCATTCATATTTAATTGTGAAACTATTCTTCTGGTACTGATGAAGATATTCTGATTTTCTTTTATTCGTCATAAAACTGACAAATGTTGCTTCGGCGTACGGAGAACGTGTCAGCGAAGAAGAAATGTTGTGGGAGGTGGCATGAAATGAAACCACACTTGGCGAGCAAATGCGTGGATCTTGCCAGAGAATCCGCAGTGTTCTTTTTCCTTCTGGTTTCATATTGATCATTTTCTTTGATTTATTTGAACCAGATAATCATACCAATTGATCTGTTTCTCTTCAATCCCCTTTACTAGAACTCTTTTAGTTCTTCTCCGATGCTCTTCCCTACTCCCTCTCCTTCTTCCTACTATATTTCACATTTACAACTGGTCTTATTTTCGATTTGTGTCTCTCTAGCGTTGTTTACGATTCTCACGGTATTATTTATCTGGCAATAGACTTCACAAGCTGCATTTGTGACGGAATACACGTCACAAATGAAGAAGGTCTTACTTTTAGTCCGATTTGTCCTCATTAATAATAAGCGTTCCAATTTTGTGTTTCAAATATTCTTTCTAACAAGTATTAATGCAAAGATTTTATATACATCGCACTGGAAGCTTTTTCAGTAACTTTCGTACAGGACTTAGATACAGGTGTCTCTGACTAAACAGGTATTTCTTTGATTTTTATAGTGATCTTTTCAATCAATTTGTTGATATTAGGACTGCCCATAAGAGCAACCCGTTTTGTTTTAGTAAATATCGCAGTTATAGTTTCCATACCTTCTTCCTAAGCGATACCACAAGCGGTCGAAGATGCTGAAATGTTTTTAGTTCTATCCAAGATCATTTATAACATAACCACGCATTTGAGCTGTTAGCAATTTGTGAAGTGTACAGAGAGAATAAATATGATAAACAAAACTAATCGTTGTGGCACACTAGATGTATCGGTCATACAAAGAACTAACAAAGAATTTGATGGTAGATTCAGTTAATTCTAAATAGCTTAATGTTACCAAACGTCAATTTCAGATAACACAATATGTGATAATAATCATTGGTTCCGAACAGTTCTGAACCAAAACAGGCCTATAAGTTATACTGAGCTTCGCAAATTCTGTAGGAATAGAGAGAAGATGAGCTTTGTTGATTACAACAACAGCGGACTTATTGAAGCTTCAATGATAACTCTTTCGAATTTAGCAGAATAGAGTGCACTGTGAGCTTTGTGCACATCTCTGAAATGAATTCGAAGTAGCACAACTTATTCCATTTGTTCCCAAGTCTTCCTAATTGACCTACACTGTAGCAACATTCCTCCTTTAGCGTCTTCAACGCACTACCACAATCGGTTATCAACTTTAGCAACCTCAATGAAGTTGGACCTGTAGGTTCCATTGAACTACAATTCCTTTTTCTTGTCCCTAGACCATATCAAATTGTGCGGTTTACTGCATAGTTGCGTGTTAGAAAAAGTTTGATAACTCTTCATATATATTTAATTGTGAAGCTATTCTTCTGGTACTGATTCTGATTTTCTTCTATTCGTCATAAAACTGAGAAATGCTGCTTCAGCATACGGACAATTTTGGTATGAAATGAAACCACGCTTAGCGAGCAAATGCGTGGATCTTGCCAGAGAATCCGCAGTGGCTGACGCATCATGGTGGTATTCCACTTGTAGATCCTACTGATCATGTTTAATCTGTCATCCTTGAAACTGTTTGGAAGATTATTGGGAAAATGTGAGCTGAGATGCCGAAAATGACTCCACGATACGATTTTTCTACATATAACTTGTTTATTATAGTTATACTCATCTTGATTTTGATTTTGATCTTTCAATAATGTGATTAGTCGGTAGGAAATCTTTTGGTGTGGTCAACAGCTGTTTCAACAACTGCAGTTGATAATTTGAGGGAATCTCTTTAAGTCCTTTTTCTTTGAAATAATGGAAAAAAAGTAAAACAACATCGTTTTGATTTTCCAAAACTACGTTTGCTACAGTTTCTTCCCCAGCAGTTTGTTCATAGCATCTAGTATTGTCAAGTATGTAATGATCATCAAAACATTGGCAAAAATTAATGCACAGTATTATTTAATGTTCTGCACGCCAAAATGTTTCAAACTTCAGCCTTAATGAGCATTCGTAAGATGTTCTGCAGTTGCAAATATGCAAAATTCAAAGATTTATTTATGGATGATAATGTCTCAGATAGATATTAAGTAATAATACATATCTGTCATGCTCTATAGATCTAAGATGAACTGTTGACACACTTGTTTGTAAGATCTAAAATAAAAGTGTTTGAACCCGATGATTTTCCAAACGTAAAATTCAGGCCAAAACATCTTCGGTGGTCCGAAAAATTGGCCCAACATTCGTACGAGAAGTTACTACAATGGTGAGTAATGCAACGGAGCTCGCCAGCGGAGGCTTTACAACAAAACGCCCCGCATACACACACGTGATTTCTCGGAACCGCCGTTAGATTTCTTGGAACCAACCCAAAATCCGTAACACTTCTCTACTATATGAACGATTTAAATTTATCTTTCAAGTTTTAGACCCCACGCAATCATCTTAAAAGATTTTTTTATTCCTCATAAATGCAATTTAAATTAACCAGTATTTCTAGTTAATTGTATAACAATTCTGGTATTCCCTGTATATGAATAATGTAAAATAATTTTTTAAATCGTTTTTTTTTCTTTTAGTTAACCGCTGAAGACGAAGAACGTAGACGAAGACGACGCGAAAGAAATAAAATCGCCGCAACAAAATGTCGTTTGAAGAAACGTGAAAGAACGGCGAATTTGGTTAACGAATCCGAAGTTTTGGAGAAACAAAACGTCGATTTGAAGAATCAAATTCAAGCGTTACAATCCGAACGGATGAGTTTAACCTCAATGTTACAAACGCACCAATTAACTTGTCGAAAAAGCATCCCGAAAGTCACCCGAGATTCAATTTACAAGATTTCAACTTCTAACGTCAACAATAATCGTCAACAACATTCGAATTCTCCGGCCATCAATACGAATCATTCAAATCACTCAAGCAACAATCATTCCTATAATAACAACAACAACAACAACCGTCAAGGAGGAGGGATTGTTGTTGGTGATGGTTATTTGGATGTATTTAATCGTCCAAATTCGGGTGATGTTACTTTTTCGCGACCAATTGGTGGACAATTTATTAATAAAACAACCCCGACTATTATCGTTGAATCACCGACGACGACGGAAAATAATGATTTTCAAACGCATCTTACTAATTTGGATAATAACAATCAAAGTAATCAACAACACATTTACCAACACAACAATTACAATTCCGTTCAGTATTCTGGACAGAATTACGATAATGGTTGTTTGGCGTAATTTTAAATCAATTTTTTTTTAACAAGATGAGACGATAAAGGTGAAAATAAGATGTGCATAATTTCTTTTTATTGTTACCAGATCTGAAAAAATACCAATGTCAAATGGGCCTACGATTAATTTTTGTATTTGTTAAAAACGCCGGTCGTTTTTTAATGTGATTATGGAAAATTTATTGGGTATCACTACAATTTGAAAAAAATGCAGGCTTTTTTAGGTTGTATCTAATTATTTTAGACTTTCTTATTTGCACAAAAAAGTTATAAAATGCAAATTTAATATTTTTTTTCTGGCGATATTTATGATCAGTTCTTCTAGAAACACTTTAGCATATCATAGAATATTTTTGTGGTTTAGCACTTAAACTGAAAAACTAACCAATAGAATTTATTTTAAATTTATTCTAATTTATTTAACGGTTTCGTGATAATAAATAGGTAAAGATAAATTGAGTCTTCTTGTTTGAAATAAACTTAAATTTATACTTTTTGACATTTTGATAAGCAGATTAATAATACCGTTATGATGCTCCATTTTGTGGAAATAGTAGGTGCTAAATTTTAATACATTTAATTTTTTCTGGCCTTTATTGCTTTATTCAGATTGACTTAGTACGACTGTCATTACTAATTTCGGCATGAAAGTGATTCTCTTAGGATATTCAAACTTGCGCGCGGCAAAATTGTGTCTTGCTAAGTTCACATCAGTCTTAAATTTAAATTATCTCTTAATAATATGTATTAAATATTTAAAAAATGCATAATTACATAATTTTGATGAAAAGTGGACAAATTAATAACTGACCAAAGAAAAACCGGCCTGGTGGCAACACTGTCATCGATAGACTTAGGTTGGTGATTCTGCCAGACTCAGCTATCAATGCTTCAACTCTTCTCAAGTCTTCTTTTCTATCATTATCGCTCAATCCGCATTTCTTAAGTTTTACACTTACATCCTCTATTTTACAGTAATCTTTACATTACACTTTTTTATTTATGTGGTCAGTCCGAAATTTCATCCGTTCTTCCTGTTGGTTACCTTTAGAAAGGGGCAGACGTTTCGCCAAGATCTCACCTGGCATTTTCAGTGCGTTGTCGTAGTCTCCTGTCGGCAGACTATAAATAAATTGACGCTTATTGGTGTACGTCAAAATGGCATTAATCAATGGAAAACACCTTCACATTATTTTATAAATGCAAGAGAAGTTAATAATATAAAAGAAATCGGATTGGTGTGAATCAAAACGGTTTTAATCGATAAAAAACATCTTTAGATGACTCAAATTGATCTAGATGTATTTTGAAAGTATTTCAAAACCAACAAAAACATAAAAAGATTATTGGTGTGTGTCAAAATGGTATTAATCGATGGAAAACACCTTGAGATTATTTTATAAATGCAAGAGAAGTTAATAACGTTAAAGACAAGGTTTTCAAAAACACTTAAAAACATAAAAAGCTTATTGATGTGTGTCAAAATGCTACTGGTAAGGTTGGTGTGAGTCAAAACGGTTTTAATCGATCAAAAATATCTTTAAATAACTCTGCGACAATGAAAAAAATAAAAAATTGATTTAGACACTATTTCAAAAGCAAAAAAAAAAAACATAAAAAGCTTATTGGAGTGTGTCAAAATGGTACTAATCGATGGAAAACACGTTCAGATTATTTTATAAATGCCAATATAAGTCAATAACATTAAAGGGGATGTTTTAAATGCCAGTTAAGATCTTGGCGAAACGTCTGCCCCTTTCCAAAGGGAACCAACAGGAAGAACAGATGAAATTTCGGAGCGACCACAGCGACACATTTATTAATATTTTATATCATTGTTTTAAAAGAATCAACTATGATGGTGGTACTTAATCCAAAAATAGAGATTTCTTCCTTTTCGATATAGTTTTTGTCCTTGGCATAAGATACATTTCAAGAATTTGGTGTTCAATAACTTTCAACTTTGCTTAATACACTTTAATAATTTAATACTACTTTAATTTTATACATTGCAAACGATTTATAGAGAATTCCCCCTTTTGGATATGGTTTTTATCCTTGGCATAAGATACATTTCAAGAATTTAGTGTTCAACAACTTTCAACTTCGCTGATACTACATAGATTGATAACATTAATGTTAAGAGGTCATAATGAGATTAATATAAGTATATATGTGTGTGCGTATGATTGCCAGGCGGCCAAACTTGAAGCACATTCGTATATACTATGTATTGATGTCCGTTAATGGCTCTCTCCTAACTTTAAAATTATTAATATCTACATAATTTTGATTGCGGTACTTAATCTATCTGTATACTTTAATTTTATACATTGCAAACGATTTATAGAGATTTTCCCTTTTTGGATATAGTTTTTATTCTTGGCATAAGATACATTTCAAGAATTTTGTGTTCAACAACTTTCAACTTTGCTGATACTATATAGATTGATAACATTAATGTTAAGAGATCATAATGAGATTAATATAAGTATCTTAACTTAATCTTAACTTTAAACTTATTAATATGTATACAGGGTAATTCAAATTCGACCCCCACCATTGAGATCTCAGAAACCATAAGAGATACAGAAATGGTTAAATGGGGGCAAAGTTGCGTATCTTAGAGCTCATCATTTTTCAACATTTAAAGCTCTAAGATACGCAACTTTGCTCCCATTTAACCATTTCTGTATCTCTTATGGTTTCTGAAATCCCATTGGTGGGTATCGAATTTGAATTACTCTGTATATTTCTTAATATACCACGAAGTTTCATTCTTGAGCCAAATTTTTTTCTTTTAAATTCTTCGTGAAAATAGTGGATGTATTAAATGAAAACAATATTTTCTCTTAACTTTAGAGGCGATGCCGTACAATGAAAATTATTATTGTTACTTTACTTATATACCACAAAATTCAGCTTCTTAAATTAATGATTTTATTATGATCCAATATATGATCAAATATATGTTGTAATTTCACTAAAAATAAATGTTATTAGAAACAATTCGTGTCAAATAACTCAAAAATTATCAAACTAGAGGATTCAATTATTTTAGAAAGAAATTTATTAACCCCAAAGAATTTATATTATATTAACCTCGAATTACTTGCTTAATTTATTGATTAGTTTTTCAGTTAACTCTCAAAATCTCTTAAAACAAATCACTTTATTACATTGTATCTTTCATCAAAATTAATTACTTAATTTGCATTCAAGATTTTCTTGATTTTGCATTTAATACAGTTTCTACTGATTTAATGACTATAAATATCGCCTCAATATCCTTATTTTTTTTATAAAATCACAAATAATTAGATATAACTTAAAACAATTTATGTTAAAAAATATTTGTATATAAAAAATAAATTATTTCAAGTTGTAGTGATAACCATACAATTTAATCAAGTGGAAAAGGCGTTTTAATGTTCTCTCGAGAAAAAATTCAACCACCATCTTGGCCAAAAACTTAAAAAATGGGAAACTATTTTAAATAATTCCTTGACTCGGTAATTTTCGGATTTATTCCTTTAATATTTTTGGAGTATTTATTCACAGGGGTGTTTTTTTATTTGAAATTTGGTTTCAATTTATTAATTTTGATTACTACCGGTATTATTATTATTATAAAGCTTTTTAAGAAGTTTCAATGCTTTTATTAACTTCTTTTAAAGGAATTTTTTCCATTTCTATACTTTATCTTTACTATAAATCTTTATTATAAACATATTTTGTGAGTTCTTTATTTAAAAAAAATCATTTATAATATTTACTACTAAATAGAGATTTAGTTTGTAATTATTTAAAAAAAATAGTTTTTCTTTTTCAATTAAAAAATTAAATAATAGTGTTTAGGGTATGTTTCATTGTTTTTTTTTTCTAATACATAATTTAAAAGAGATAGATTTTTAGATTTATAAAAAAAATAAATAATTATAAAAAAAATATGTGTAAATAAGATAATATTAATAACATATTTTTTGCTTCGATTTTCTTGTTGGCTCAGGTGTATTTTTTTATAAATAGTTTTCATTATTTTTTGGTTTAAAGTCAAGATGGTGGTTAAAATAAAAAACGGGGGACGTTTTTTCTACTTTGATACTTTTGTTACGTACTACTTATTAATTCTTAAATTGAATGTAAAATGGATTTAAAAAAAACCTTTAGCGCACATTGTGTTTTTTAGCATTCCAAATATTGAATTTTAGGTATATAGGAGACTTTTGTACATTTTTTGTCTTTTTTTGTGTATTTACTGCCAAATTTTTACCTATTTTTACTTTAAATGTCTATTGTCACGTTGAAAAATATTTAATATTGTTTTTTTTTATTGTAATATTTGCCTATTTTTCTACTTATCATGTATTTTATACATATTTTGAAAACAATTTGTTACAATTTTATTTCAATTAATAAAATTATAACAAATTTAAAAAAAAACGTAAACATACACTTTTCCAGCTTAAAAGAAATCATCTCAACACTAACACCACAATTAATTTTTAACATTTTCTTTTAAATTAACCTCACGCATAATTTGTTTGTTAAAAATTATCCCCAGATTTAATTTTTATTAACAACATTATTTTTTATTTTTTAATTTACTTAAGCAATTTATTTTTTATTATAAATTTGCTTTAAGAATTAGCTTCAAAATAACAAAAAAGCCCCCCTCAGATTTATTTCAATTCCTTGTAGCCTTTTAGCTTTTTTGTTTCAAAGCTGTGCCTTATTGTTTATTTAAAGCAATAAATCGGCACATGTTTTCTATTCATTTCACTTAAAGTAATAAATTTAACCACAAAAAAATAAACTTCCAATAAGCAAACAAATTTGTGGAACTTGTGATATTCTAAAATAAGATTTTAAAAAGGAAAAATAAAATTAAAATAAACTCATTAATTAATTAATAATAATACTAATTTTCTATTGAAAATTTCTTTTAAAACATGTGCCATGAAAGTATTTTCTTTTTTTTGTAATTTTATTATCTTATTATTATTATTGATGACAAAAATTTATTTTTTTATTCAACGTCCCTTTTTGAAGTTTCTTTTTAAAATTAAATGCTTAAAAATCGAATAATTAATAAAAAGAATCTCCCCCTATTTTAACCCACCACCATTAAAAAAAATCATCAAAGTAATAATTATGGTGCTTAAAAAATCATACCAGTGAAATAAATAATGATGTGCTTTAATTGTTGTAAAAACCCTAAAAAAATTTTGTTAATTTTACAAAAAAATAAAAATAAATCCAGCTTTTTATACTTATTATTCTTTTTATTGTAACAGCACACATTTTAACACACACAAAGACAACACATTTATTATACCAATTTCTTTTTGTTTACAGTTACCTGTTGTGTTAACTTTTTATTAAACGGGTTTTTCAGATATATACCTGATTGCATTGTGCCTTAAATTGTTTATAAATTGGAGCATATATATCGTTAAAAATAAATATTAAGATCAAATTTTGAACAAGTTTTTTATTTATTAATTTCATCAAAAACTTACAAACTATTTTTATCTGTTATGTTATACTTCATTATTTAATTTTCGACGGAATCATACTGCAAGTTATATCTTCATCGTTTTCATCTTTTAATTCAAATTTAACATCAACGGAAACCTTAAAAATAAAAGAAATAATTAATCATAAATCATTTAGGCAGAAAACTGCCTCAAATTTGATTTATACTCTGACAAACAAATTGTATGATTATGAAGATTTGGATCTTGACTTGAGAGTATTACTTAATGTGTTGAGTTGTATTTCAAATTTTAATTTTAATAGTAATAGTCTGCTTAGAAAGTCTAAAACAAGCATGGCGCTAGATTAGCTGTTACTGGTTTGATGATAATCGTTGTGATAGCTCAGACTTATATAAGAACAGAGATGTTTGCTTTTAATCTATAACCTTCTAATACTTGTATATTCAGACCCAGAAAGCTTAAATATTTAGGCACTGCAATTTTAAACATTTTCTTGCAGTATGATATCTATGCAGCCTAATTTCAAACATTATCTTAATTTATGGAGTCTTGTAATCATAGACTTTCCGTCATTGTAACTTATTTTTGAAGTCCATATGTGTGAAGGTAATCAGAGACACTTTTTGGCAGTTTAGAGTCGGTCAGAATAATTCCTGTTAAAGTCAAAATTCTCATTTATGGCTTTTACATTAAGTCTGGAGTTATGCCTGCAAAATTTTAGAGTTCTTCTTGCAGTCTAGAACTTTGTCAGTGTAATTACAGACCAATTTTTTCCTATGTAATACTTGGTTATTGTAATTTTAGACATTTCTTTGCAGTATGATATCTATGCAGCCTAATCTCAAACATTTTCTTAATGTATTGAATCTTGCCTTGTTCACTCATAGACTTTCCGTCATTGTAACTTATTTTTGAAGTTTATAGGCTGATAATATATGTCTAAAGGTAATCAGAAACACTTTCTAGAAGTTTTTGAGTCGATCAGAATAATTCCTGTTATAGTCAAAATCCTCTTTTATGGTTTTTACATTAAGTCTGGAGGTATACCTGCAAAATTTTAGACATCTTCTGGCAGTCTAGAACTTTGTCAGTGTAATTAGAGACCAAGTTTTTCCTATGTAATACGTGGTTATTGTAATTTTTGACTTTTTTTTGCAGTATGATAACTATGCAACCTAATTTCAAACATTCTCTTAATGTATGGAGTCTTCTAATCATAGACTTTCCATCATTGTAATTTATTTTTGAAGTTTGTAGGCTGACAATATATGTCTGAAGGTAATCAGAAACACTTTCTGGCAGTTTAATGTCTGTCAGAATAATTCCTGTTAAAGTCAAAATCATCATTTATGGCTTTTACATGAAGTCTGGAGTCATACCTGCAAAATTTTAGTCTTCTTCTTGCAGTTTAGAACTTTATCGGTGTTATTACAGACCAATTTTTCCTATGTAATACTTGGTCATTATAATTTTAGTCATTTTCTTGCAGTATGATATCTATGCATCCTAATTTCAAGCATTCTCTTAATATATGGAGTCTTGCCTTGTAATCATAGACTTTCCGCCATTGTAACTTATTCTTGAAGTCTATAGGCTGATAATATATGTCTGAAGGTATACAGAAACACTTTCTGGCAGTTTAAAGTCGGTCAGAATAATTCCCATTAAAGTCAAAATCCTCATTTATGGCTTTTACATTAAGTCTGGAGTTATGTCTGCAAAATTTTAGACTTCTTCTTGCAGTCTAGAACTTTGTCAGTGTAATTACAGACCAATTTTTTCCTATGTAATACTTGGTTATTGTAATTTTAAACATTTTCTTGCAGTATAATATCTATGCAGCCTAATTTCAACATTCTCTTAATATATGGAGTCTTGCCTTGTAATAATAGACTTTCCGACATTGTAACTTATTTTTGAAGTCTATAGGCTGATAATATATGTCTGAAGGTAATCAGAAACAGTTTTTGACAGTTTAGAGCCAGTCAGAATAATTCCTGTTAATGTCAAAATCCTCATTTATGGCTTCTACATTAAGTCTGGAGTTATGACTGCAAAATTTTAGACTTCTTACAGTCTAGAACTTCGTCAGTGCTAATTTTTTCCTATGTAATTTTTGGTCACTGCAGTTTTAGACTTTTTCTTGCAGTATGATATCTATGCAGTCTAATTTCAAATATTTTCTTAATCTATGGTGTTTTGCCTTGTAATCATAGACTTTCCGTCATTGTAACTTATTCTTGAAGATAATATATATCTGAAGCTAATCAGAAGCACTTTCTGGCAGTTTAGAGTCGGTCAGAATAATTCCTGTTAAAGTGAAAATCCTCATTTATGGCTTCTACATTAAGTTTGGAGTCATGCCTGCAAAATTTTAGACTTCTTCTTGCAGTCTAGAACTTTCTCAGTGTAATTACAGGCCCATTTTTTCATATGTAGTATTTTACACTTTTTCTTGCAATTGCAATTGGTCGCAATAACTCCTGTCAATGCTTCTAACCTTGACAGTATCTAGTATAATTTTGAACTACTCCTTCAAAACATCGTAAAAAAAGAATCAGGGCCTGCATTTTGTACAATACAATTAGACTTTTACAAGATTTAGGCTTCCTTTTAAAAACATTTATCAAGTTAATGGAAACTTAATACGCCGTTAATTGAGGTTTCTTATTCTTAATTGACTGACGCATCACGTTAACATTCAATCAAGCCAATTGAGTTTATAAAACCGGGTCTTAATCAAATTAAATTAATACTTACAGGTGGATATTCTTTCAAAACTGGTAAAGTTGTGAAATAATTATAAGAAGTACCAGATGTTAAGGGGCAGGTAACTCCAGAATCGACGCATCCATTTCCGTTGGGTAAAGGAAAAGGAATTGGGGCGTTCATAATAACACCATGAACGATGGCTTTTAATTCTTTTATATCTTTTTCTAAAAATAAAGTGTCAAATTATGCGAAATTACTGTGATAAGTAATAACTTACGTGGTGTAAATTGAATTTGAATGGTAACGTTCGAATTTCGACGTAAAATACATTTGTCATCATCTGCGTCGCAGTTTGTTACTGATATTGAATCGACTTTTCCCATTTTTGAACCTACAATATAAAAAGATTGATGAGATCCAGAATGAGGCGATGGAGACAGTGAAGAAGAAGCTATGGAAGGTATTAAACTACGCGATGTATGGAGAGGACAGATATAAAAAGTGGAGTAAAGGGGTGGTGGGCAATTATAGAGGTATCACCTTCTTGGACACTGCTGGGGAGATTGGAAGAGGAAATGGAGAGAGGGGAATAGAAGAAGAAGGAACAAGGTTTTGGAGATGGGTTGGTGAGGAAGACTCCAGGGTATATAGTAATGGAAGAGGTTAAGGTATATAGTGAGGAAGTGATAGAAGGAAGGCCGCATTGCAGATGCTGATCCTGGGAGAGTACTGGAGGGAAATCAAGGAGAGGAAGTTGATATATGGGCAGGGAGATAGGGAAGGGTATTATAGGAGAGTGGGATATTCAATTACTGGGATCGGCAATAGAAGAGTGGAAAGAAGTGAAGTACAGAGGCAGAAGAAAAGGTCACATATGCTGGAACGGAGATATAATGTAAGGTATAGGGAGATAGTGACAGAGGAATTTCCAAAATATCTGTTGAAGGAAGGAGGCGAGGAACTTAGTAAACAATAAAACGCTTATTATAAAAAGATTTTTTTTATAAATTCAGCTAATGATGTATTAAACGTTGAAACTGGGTTTTATTATTTTTTTAACCTTGAGTTATTTCAAGTAACGCGAAAATAATTTCACCCATTTCGCCGAGTTCAGCAAAATTTTATTATTTCCGGACAATAAAACGCGAAGGACGATATAATAATCTTTTATAATCACTCTTTAATTTTCTTTTCGTTAACTACAACGATGATTCATCTCAAATTTTATTTATTTATTTATTGTAAATAAATATGTATTCATGTTTGAAATAGATTAACTCACCACAATCGGAAAATTCACCGTTTAATTTCACAAATAACGCGCAAAGAATCATAAAAATCAAAATACCATTTTTATAACTCATTTTTTTGTATTTAATTCTCCTAAACGAGAAAATTCGATAATAAAAAAGTACTTAAATGGTTCGTAACTGTAAAAAAGAGAGTAAAATTTTAAAAACCCCGATTACAATTAAGCCCGACAAAGAACTGTTCTAGAATTAAAATTGTTCGGTTTTATACGGCTTCGTCGCAACAAAGATAATAATCAAGCCCACTATAATGACCAGAGAAGGACGTATTTATGTTCAGATGTGAAATAACATAGGATAAGAAATAACATGTATCATTTTCGGTTCATGGGTCAGTGATTATAAAAAAAATTAAATATTTCCATTTCGATTCAAAAATTATTACCATTTTTTTCAAAAACGAATGATAATGAAGATAGCTCTAAATAAAATAAATTTGAATTAATTGTTAAAGAATAAAACATTAAAATAATATCTATATATGGAATATTTTTTGAGACAGTTATTAAAAATTAATAAATTTATTCTAAATAAACTTAATTTCGATTTAAATTTACCGCTCGTTTTACGTGAAAATTCCCCAATGAAATTAGCTCCAAATCTTTCATCATTTTATTAATAAATAAAACAATAATTTTAATTTCCTTCCATTATTAAACATTATATTACTATATTTAAGTTAATTATCAACAAATTTCACATTAAAATTGTTGAAATAAAACAAAAATAATCCCGTGAAGTTAGCTACTTAGTACACGTCATGTGTTTTCATCTGCCATCGTGGCTGTATGTCATTATTTTAAGGTTCAACTTGCAGTGACGTTTACTCATAAAGACGTAAGAAATCGTGAAGTGTAGACGACGAAGCCACATATTTCGAATTGTAAGTGATAAATTAATCTAATTCAACACAAAGCACGTTTATTTTTTACTTAAGTATGCTCCATTTATCGTTTTTTAACGATTAATTCTTTATTATTGTAATAATTTTAGAGTTAAAATGGATCAAGTAGCGAAATTCATTGAACCAGGACGCCAATTCACTAAAGATTCCATCAGGTTAGTGAAGAGGTGCACAAAACCGGACAGAAAAGGTAAAAATTTAATGATTAATTTTTTGAGGTTATTCACATCTTTTTTGCTTTAGAGTTCCAAAAAATCGCTATTGCAACAGCAATCGGATTCTGTATTATGGGATTTATTGGGTTTTTCGTTAAACTGATCCATATACCCATTAACAATATCATCGTTGGATCTTAAGATTTAGTATTTTTGAATCGAGGAGTGTTTGTTATATCATATTTTCTAAGATGGTTTAAAGAAATAATAACATGATTATCCATGTAATAATATCTTATTTATCAACATTTTCATTTCATAAATATTACTTTATAAAATTTGTATTTTAATTACCTATAATTCGTTTATCTTGAAGTAAAACTTTATATTTAAGAAGTTCAACACCTATATTTAGTTTTTTTTTTTATAAAATGTTAAGAACAATGATTTGAAGTGTTAATAACTTTGAAAATTGTTAAAAAAAAGGTAAAATTGTTGGAAATTCAAAACCAATTCTTATATGATTTAGTTACATGTTGTGACATTATTGTAATTTAAATGCTAAAGATCACACCATTGTCATTGATTGAGTTAGAACAAATTATATCATACCTCATGAAGCACCCCATATCTGCCCATGAAGAAAATAAACTACAAGAAGGATGGATACAGTGTAAGGATTGCTGATTAAAAGTTTGTCCAAAAGAATCATTATTTTGCATTATGAAGGTGAGTTTAGATAAGAAAAATTTTGCTTGTTAGTGTATTCTCTACAAGCAGGGGCGTTTAAATCCTTGCTTAAATCCATTTGTTTGTGAATTTTCATTATTTCTTTATATTCATCAGATAGGGATGGAGATACTTTAGGAATCCTATGAAGTCTTTAAGATGGCGTTATCAAATCTGGCTTTGTCCTGAAAGGATTAAGATTCCTTAAGGTCCTCAGCAAAGTTTCAACACTCTTCTTCCAACATAGAAGATATACTTACAAGATTTGTTTATTCTCTACAAGCAAGGGCGTTTAAATCCTTGCTTAAATCCATTTGTTTGTGGATTTTCATTATTTCTTTATCTTCATCAGATAGGGATGAAGATATTTTAGGAATTCTATGAAGTCTTTAAGATAGGGGTATCAAATTTGACTTGGTCCTGAAAGGATTAAGATTTTTTAAGGACCTTAGCAAAGTTTCAACAGTCTTCTTCCAACATGGAAGATATTCTTAACAGATTCGTTTATTCACTACCAGCAAGGGCGTTTAAATCCTTCCTTAAATCCATTTGTTCGCAAATCTTCATCAGGTAGGGATGAAGATATTTTAGGAATTTTATTAAATCTCAAAGGTAGGGTTATGAAATCCGGCTCGGCCCTGAAAGGTCGTTAGTAAAATTTCAACACATTTCTTCTAACATGGAAGATATTCTTACAAGAGAAGTGCAGCCCCAGAGATCTTTGATAGGAGAACTTGGGACTGATTGTATGTCGAAATCTCACCGTAAGATGGCACTAGCGTCTATACTGAAATAATTTAATTAAACTTACAATTTTATTATTAATAGTGGGAATGATGAGAGACAGCAATAAAAATTATTACCAGTATCATTCTTTTAATTTAAAAAGTATTGATTCCAATTCGTTTTAAATTTGCCGCTAACTTCAACTTTTAAAATTATAAAGTTGAAGTTTGTTCAGAATGACAGATGAAAACGTTATTTTAAAGTGATTTTTTGGTAAGAGTATAATAAGGTAATAATGGTATGATTAAATAATTAGATTATAATTGAGATTATAGCTTTGTTTCAGCTAACGTTATAAGTTGTTGGAAGCTCGTCAGATGCAATCTCACGTGTCATATTATGATGCAGTGATATTCAAATGTGCGGCATTATTTGACAGGTGTAATTGCCATAGGTAATTGCATCTGAGGGATTCCCAACCAGTCGAAACGTTAATTGAAGCCACATAGTGGCTCCAAACACTTATTCTGTGGTTGGAGCTTTTATATATAAACGATATAAACCGAATCCAACCTGTATTCTAGTGATTCGGTTCTTAGCTGAATAATTCCAAAGTATTCCCAACAGATGGCGCCATATGCGTTCAATTTTTGGTACGAAGTTGTTGTTTAGAAAGTTACATTTCTACCACATTTCTACGAAGATAGTTTCTATGGAGAAGTGCAGAAAGGTAATAAATTGAAGGTACGTTGTGTACATTTAAGACTGCAGCGCCATCTGTAATTCAATGGCAACACTGATAAAATTTGTTGAATTATTTGAAAATAAACTTAAAACTCCCATTATTTTCGCTATTGAATAACAGATGGCGCTAAAATTTATCAAATTTTGAATAAAAATTCTTGTTTTTAATCCTTTTTCAATTTTACTTCAAAAAAATGGTTGCCAAATGCAAGATTCGAACCCCATACCTCCAACTTAACAACCACCTAGACTTCCTTGTTATATTATGGATGTCATGAATCCAATTTTAATTTTAGCAACTAAACCGTTCTAAAATTTCAATAGGAATACCCCTTCAAATTTTTAAGTTTTTAAAACGTTATTAACAAATACACAACTCGATGAATCAGTCATTTTATTTTTCTAAACGAATAGTATCAATGTTGTGTTAAAATTTGATTGTGAGGTTGAAATAAAATCAAGATTAAGTAAACTAAAACAAACTTTATTTTTACTTCCTTATATCGCTATAGGAACAGAACACGCGGCGATTTAATAGAAAAGTATAAAAATAGTCTCTTATTTTACACTTATGGTGTGATTAGAGGCACTCGTACTCAAACAGAAACATTTTTATAAACCAAAAAAAGAGTGAATAGAACGAAGAAAATTTAGAAAACACAAATCTATAACGAGTTTCGTTTAAGAATAGAACTGTATATAATAATTGGACGTCGTTTTACATTTAAGATTTCTAATTATAACAATAATATTCACAACGCACACATGTATTGACTAGTTGCAAAAAAATGAACTTACTATTAACATTATATACAATTTAACTTAAAATTTTAATTTTTAAGGGAGAAATGAATTTGTTTATTATTGTGATGGGCTTAGTTAAGTTAAAACATTCTAAGAAAAACGAAGATGACAAAATAAAAAATTCAGTCTCACTTAATATGAGATAATTTCAACAATCATTTTTAAATTATTATGGAATATTTATGGCACATTATGATGCAAAAAAATAACTAAAATGCAAGAAATATTAACAAACATTTCCTTTAAATTGCGATTAAATTTTAATGCAATTTTAGAAATAATTCTGAATATTTGTTTTTTTTTTGTAACTCCCTATTTTAACAAAAAAATTAAAATAAAAATATTTTTAATATATACAGGATGATTCAATTAACTTAAATATTATTTTGACAAATAATTTAATCAATTCGAATAAATATGAATATTTGTGAAATTTTGTGTATATAAAATATGTTGATAAAACCTTTTTAGTTTTAATTGTTATTTAGCGCTTATATTCAATTAAAACTAGAAATCTTCTGGTTTAGCTTGGTTTAACCATGAATGTTTTTAGTTCAATGATAAATATAAAACAATATAACGCTGAATAAGAACTAAAACTAGCATTACAGCTAACACTACACCTAAAACTAGAAACATTCGGGTTTAGTGTCGTTCTAGTGTTGTTTGTTCTAATAATAGTGTTATTTCTAGCTTGTTGTATACTTTTATTGAAGTAAAACTAGAACTAACAGTACGGCGTCTGAAGACGCACGGCTAAACCCGAAACTTTCGAGTTTTATGTCTACTGTTAGTTCTAGTTTTATTTGATATTCAGCGCTAGATTGTTATATATTTTTATTAAACTAAAACTGGAACACTAAAGTTAAAACTAGAAACATTCTGGTTTAGTCGTCTTAACACGTTCACGGCCAGAAAGTTTTTAACGTACAAGTAGCCTTCAATTTACGCCATTTCACAATTACGCCGCTACGCAGTCTGCTGTGTGAATCCCCGATCGGTCTTTCCTCTTATACAAGACCGATTTTCGTTGTACAATTGGTTTTAGTAAGTCGTGGCATAATTTTAATCGCAAATACTAGAGTGAAATTGACGACGATTCGTGTAAAAATTTTTGATCTAAACCCATAAATGGCTAATTGTAAGATATGGGATTTCAAAGTTAAGAATTTTTCAAACATTTTTTTAAATACAGGGTGTTTCTAAATTGATACGAAAGATTTCTAGGAGTGATTTTTCAACAAAAATTAAGGGAGGTCTTTCATATAACTTTTTGTCCAAAATCTCTTCCCCACCGAGTTACAGCACTCTAAAGTTAGGAGGAGGGAAATTGTTTTTATTTAATAAATCCACTATGGAAGAATTTTGAAGAATGAAATTTGGCAGTTGCTAATAAAATGACACTTTTTATAACCCAAAAATGTTATTACAAGGGGCTTTTTAATGCATCTACATTTTTCTATTTAAAAACTTGACTTAAATAGAGGGACTCAATACGCAACTTTTTTGTCTCTTGACATTTTCTGCTAAAATTGTTAGTTTGATCACAAAAAAATAAAATAATACACAGGCTCAAGTGAATTAATTCAGAGATTGGTTCTTATTAGTCATCTCAGCATTATTTTATTTTTTGTGATCAAACTAACAATTTGTTAGTTGTAAAATGTCAAGAGATAAGAAAGTTGCAGTTTTTTCCCTTAACTTTAGAGAGCTATAACATGGATAACTTAATTTTTGCTGAAAAATCACCCTTTAAAATCTTTCGCATCAATCCTGTATATTCAATATGGTTTGTCTTAGAAAGAAAAGACTAAATTTAGCAAACAGTTATCATAAGAAATCGTTAACATCACTATTGGAAAAATCGAACCTCAGGATCAATGCTATACAGGGTGTTTACAAAGGTTATTTCTTTATAATCTTTTTATAATGTCAGAAACCCTTAAATTTTCCGACTGATTCTAAAAGACTATTTCCATTTCAAAATTATTTTCACTCTTAAAAATTTTTGATTAGACGCATCGTTTTCGAGATATTTGCAAAAAGATACAACCTCGATTTTGATGTTAGATGTTAGACAACTTGATAGAAAAACATTTCTAAATATCGAAAGACAGAAATATATAAATAATGCGAATCTGAGGTTAGTTGGTACACCCCAACTAGAAGAAAACATTTTGGATTTTGTGGCAGATCATAGTACTATTAATAGCAATTTAGACATTTCAGAATATCCAAAGGCACGTCTTGGCATGTCCTACATGAATTATATCCATCCATTGCAAATACAGTGTTGCCATACTATGATGGAAAAATGTAGTATTGAAGCTGCGTTTTTAGAAAAAAGTACTTCTACAGATAACCATTAATGCTGAAGAATAATTGTAATTAAGAAAATGCAGATTTCATGCCACGTTGAGTAATAATTTGGCAAATTTGTGAATAACTCGGAAACGATGCGTGTAATCAAAAATGTATAAGAGTAAAAATAATTTCAATATGATGAAATAAAATAGAATTAGTTGGAAAATTTAATGGTTTATGACATAATTAAGAAGTTTTAAGGTAATAACCTTTGTAAACACCCTGTATAGCATTAATCCCGTCTTTGTACATTTTCAAAAGTGATCTCTAACGATTTCTTATAATAACATTGCACTGTTTGACAAATTTTATCTTTCTAATACAAACCATATTCAAAATAATTAAATTTTTTTTAACTATGATGGTCTATATCTTAGCCATTTATTTAGACCAAAAATTTTTCCACAAATCGTCATCATTTTGACTGAAGTATTTGTGATTAAAACTTATAAAAACAGTGTGTTAATTATCGTACCCGAGGTCACAATTGCAAGTATGCAACCAACATCACAGTATAGGTATTGCAATACGCGATTTGCGAATTTGGTTGCATACTTGCAATGATAACGTCGGGTGCGATAATTAATTAACACAATCTATACGTATGTATGTAAATATATCTTGGGACAGAGGCACAAATTTCATGTGTGGACAAAATCTCCATTTTTTGGCGCATAATGCACAAAAAGATCCACCAATGCAGTCTCCTGTTAAAAATTTTCAAATATTTATCATCCTGTAAAGATATTGACCAAAACGGCGTGGTGATTAAATAAATTTTCTTGGTGATATTGACCAAGACGGCAGTGAATATGTTAAATTGACAGCAAAACCTAAACTTTCTAGTTCTAAATCAAGTGTTACTTCTCATACTGATTTTGAAATTTTGACAAACAATTTAACTAATTATTAAATTAACTGAATCATCTTATACATTAATTAAAAAAAACTTAATAGATTCTTCTGATTCCAATAAATTTTAAAAAAGATTAAATCTTAATTAACTTACATATAAAAACCTTAATCTAGGCTTAACCTTAAGAAATATACATATATACACAACAGATTTTTTTAAAAAGCCCCACTAAGCAGTTTTTAACAACCACAACCGGTGTAAATGATTGGAAATATCTAAAACTTCTTCTTGCCTATAATCAACACCGACAAGTTCTGTTGCGGGTGAAGGTGGTGGTTGAATTAAATCGATATCAACCAATTCCGATAATTCATCACACTTCCTTTTATGCCTCCGCGTTTCGCAAGATGTCCCGCCTTGTTCTAAACTTTGTCTCGCCCGATAAATTGGCTCATATTCTTCTAATTGGGATATAAAACCGTCGTTGGGTTTTATGCAAGCCCTTCGATCTTTAGCATAAGCATAAGCTTCTCGATAAGTTAACCCAAATTTTTCCATAATGTAAGCTAAAACTAAAGCTGCACTTCTTGAATTCCCATTATTTCCATGGACTAAAACTTTAGCATTATGTGCTAAAGCATCATCAATAAATTGTCGCACTTTTGGGAAGTACTTTATGATACTTTCTGTTACCGTATCAGCGAATTCGAGCGTCAAATAAGTAAATGTTGAATCAGAAAATTGTGGCTTAATATAATGTGCCTCAATATCTTGTCGGACACAAATAATATGTGTTATTCCTTTATCTAATAACGCAGAACGGCAATTTCTTAGCGCTGTTGAATATGGACCTAAGTAAACCCCCGGAATGATTTCTTGCATGTTTCGTCGCATATAATAATTCCAGTTGTTTGTTGGAAGATACGTTGGGAGATTATTATAAACGGAAGTCATATCTATTAAATCGCCCATATTCTGTAAGGAATTATTAAAAAATCCGTTTTAAATCGATAGAAAACTTAAAAAGAACACTTTGTAAAAACGACATCTAACCTTATCGCTGGTGATTATCCTCGCTTCCAGGTTAATCATGGCCGCGAAACACGTGGAACCACCTTGAATGGAACCCCCGGACGTCGCCGAATACGACGAAAATCGTTTTTTGAGGGATCACCGTTTTAACAAAGCGAAAATCGAAAATATTCGAAACGAAACGCACTCACTGACAGATCGAAGTTAAGTATGGCTGCTGTTGCGATGTGCCCTGAACATCCCTCAACAGGTTCGCCAACTTAGTTTCTCGTTTTACTCGCTTTAATTGTAACGAGTTGAAATGAGATAGAAAAAAGTATTTAGGGAATTTCTGTTTATTGCGTTTTTTGGTGTTCAATGTGTCAAAATTATGTAATTTTAGAAAGGCGCGGTTTTGTAATTATTTAAATTAGGTTCGATTTATGTTTTTAATTTTTAATTAAAATTTTGAAAAGAAATTAANGTGTGGTGATTAAAGAAATTTTCTTGGTGATGTTGACCAAGACGGCAGTGAATGTGTTAAATTAACAGCAAAACCTAAACTTTCTAGTTCTAAATCAAGTGTTACTTCTCATACTGATTTTGAAATTTTGACAAACAATTTAACTAATTATTAAGTTAACTGAATCATCTTATACATTAATTAAAAAAAAACTTAATAGATTCTTCTGATTCCAATAAATTTTAAAAAGGATTAAATCTTAATTAACTTACATATAAAAACCTTAATCTAGACTTAACCTTAAGAAATGTACATATATACACAACAGATTTTTTTAAAAAGCCCCACTAAGCAGTTTTTAACAACCACAACCGGTGTAAATGATTGGAAATATCTAAAACTTCTTCTTGCCTATAATCAACACCGACAAGTTCTGTTGCGGGTGAAGGTGGTGGTTGAATTAAATCGATATCAACCAATTCCGATAATTCATCACACTTCCTTTTATGCCTCCGCGTTTCGCAAGATGTCCCGCCTTGTTCTAAACTTTGTCTCGCCCGATAAATTGGCTCATATTCTTCTAATTGGGATATAAAACCGTCGTTGGGTTTTATGCAAGCCCTTCGATCTTTAGCATAAGCATAAGCTTCTCGATAAGTTAACCCAAATTTTTCCATAATGTAAGCTAAAACTAAAGCTGCACTTCTTGAATTCCCATTATTTCCATGGACTAAAACTTTAGCATTATGTGCTAAAGCATCATCAATAAATTGTCGCACTTTTGGGAAGTACTTTATGATACTTTCTGTTACCGTATCAGCGAATTCGAGCGTCAAATAAGTAAATGTTGAATCAGAAAATTGTGGCTTAATATAATGTGCCTCAATATCTTGTCGGACACAAATAATATGTGTTATTCCTTTATCTAATAACGCAGAACGGCAATTTCTTAGCGCTGTTGAATATGGACCTAAGTAAACCCCCGGAATGATTTCTTGCATGTTTCGTCGCATATAATAATTCCAGTTGTTTGTTGGAAGATACGTTGGGAGATTATTATAAACGGAAGTCATATCTATTAAATCGCCCATATTCTGTAAGGAATTATTAAAAAATCCGTTTTAAATCGATAGAAAACTTAAAAAGAACACTTTGTAAAAACGACATCTAACCTTATCGCTGGTGATTATCCTCGCTTCCAGGTTAATCATGGCCGCGAAACACGTGGAACCACCTTGAATGGAACCCCCGGACGTCGCCGAATACGACGAAAATCGTTTTTTGAGGGATCACCGTTTTAACAAAGCGAAAATCGAAAATATTCGAAACGAAACGCACTCACTGACAGATCGAAGTTAAGTATGGCTGCTGTTGCGATGTGCCCTGAACATCCCTCAACAGGTTCGCCAACTTAATTTCTCGTTTTACTCGCTTTAATTATAACGAGTTGAAATGAGATAGAAAAAAGTATTTAGGGAATTTCTGTTTATTACGTTTTTTGGTGTTCGATGTGTCAAAATTATGTAATTTTAGAAAGGCGCGGTTTTGTAATTATTTAAATTAGGTTCGATTTATGTTTTTAATTTTTAATTAAAATTTTGAAAAGAAATTATTAAATTAATTTATTTAAATTATGACATGTATCGATTTTTTTAGTGTAGTTGCTAAGTGATGTAAGTGACATCTTGTGGAAAAAAAATAAAGTTAATTCATATTTGATTTTTTTTAAATCAATTTTTATCGTTAATTATTTTTACTCGATAAATTAATCTTGGATAGGTCATATGTAATCTAATCAAGTGTTTTGTTGGGTAAAATTTTTATTTTTATTTTATGAGATCTACATATTAACAACAATGTGTTAAAATATGTAAAATATTTAAGAAACCGGACAGTTTATCTTAAACATTTTCTTTTAAAAGGTGTTTTGAACTGACAAAAAGCAGTAAATTCACTTAGAAAATTAGGTTGAAATAATTTTAACATCTCATCACGGTTTTATTTAACAACACAAAGAGAAATTTGTGATGAAATTAAAAATTATTTCTTCGCCCCAAAATTTCTTTATTACGGCAAGAACACTTTAAAAAGCAATAAATATTAGATCAATACAAGCTAATATCACTTTAAACAAAATCAATTAATTATAAATATACAATAATAATTAAAAATAATAGTAATAATAATAAAACGAAATGAGAATTATTTTAAATATATTTCCTTAATTTTTTTCCCATTCTTTTGTGCATATTGCACACAAAAATAAATAAAAATCATGTGCAAAAAACCCCCACAAATATATCAGAACATTTTACATTTACATTTAATTTAATTATAATTACTTACGATTTTTTTTTCATTGTAACATCGTCACATCCACGTAATTTATTATTTTATTAATTCGCTTTTCGTTTTTTACGTTTACGACTAGAGTTTTTTCTTGTATGCATTTTTTATTAATATTTTCGACACAGTTCGACGACAAGTATTTATATACATCCGGTTTTTTTACTATTTAACAATAACCATCTTGGGCATTCAATATAAATAAAAAAAAATGAGAGAGGAAGTTAAAAAAAGGAAAAAATTGTGAAGAGAAGAAAGAAAACGTGACTTTTTTATGTAAAAACGAACATGTGCTTCTTCTCCAGCTGGTTGTTTCTTTGAATTCTTCGCACTTTTTAACTCTCTTTTTAAGCGTTGACATTTTTTTTTTTACTAAAATATTGTTAAGCTTAATTCGAATCTCTATGGTTTTTATTATTTTTTTTATGCCATTTTACTAGCTGCTGGTCCTTGTTTTATATTCTTTAATTTACGTCGGACATATAACTGAAACAAAAAAAAATGTTTTTGTTAAAATTGTGGTCTCTTGGGCTCAGGGATTTTAGTTCCTTGCTTAAAATTTTCGGTTTAATAAGAAGGTTTAATACAAATATACAACAATTTGCTGAATAACAACTAAAACTAGAGCTAACTCTAGCACTAGAACTAACACTAGCCCAGAGGTTTACAAACTAATTCCTCAGCGCACATAATCAAATGAGAATTCTCAACTACGCCAGGTAGGTCATTAATAAAAAGTATGTTCCAAAATTAAATCTTGTGGAACCCCCAAGTCAACCAAAGACTTATTCGACAACACCATTCTGAGGGAACGGATCGTTAAAAAACAAACAAATCCAATTCAGGATTGAACCGCGGATACAATATAACTTTTCGAACAAGAAATTTGGGTTGAAGGAGTCAAACGCCCTACTACGGTCAAAAAACAATCCAACCACGTAATTGCCATTATCAATATTATTGTAAATATACTAGACGAACTCAATTGAGGCAGTCTCAGTAGATAACTTACGTCTGAAATCATGCTAATAACGCCCAGCTTATCAAAAAAGTCGAGAATCCTGTTTTTTTTTATTTTCAAATACTTTAGAAAAAATAGTAGAAACTGCTATCGGTCTATTAGTTCTCAATACAGGTTGCGTTAGCTTTTTTTGGAGTCGGTATCACATCAGCAATTTCTTCTCTGGTGTCTTCTCCATTACTGAAGTTTGGTGATAATTTCGGAAAAGTGCTCTCTGTTTTGTATTGTTCTTAAAAATGAATGGGTGTTTATGCCTGTCCAGTACCTTAAATTCTTTAACCATGAGTATTTTCTCTCCTCCCTGGGCCCCTTTTTCCTTCAACCTTCTCTTTTATTATGAATCGTTAGTAGGAAGTTGTTTTTTCCTTCTACAGGGTGCTCCATTTAACGTGAGACAAGCGATTATCTCGAAAACGGTTTTACATTTTACATAAAAATGAACCAAATGAAAGTTGTTCTGTGCGGAAGGGGAAGAAACCATATCAACCATATGACGATAACATTTTTTGACCTTGTCCTTATTTTCAAGGTTATACGAAGGTCAAGACCAATTTTTTAAATGGCAAGACCAATTTATTGTAAAATCTGAATCTGTGGATAAAAGTAAAGTAATTCAAAAAAAGAACAAAAAAAATTTACTGTGAGGTTTTGCCAGTACAACAGCAAAACATCTTTTGCACATTAGCAAGAATAAATAAGATTTATGAATTTTTAAACATTTTCCTACCCGCTTCGATACATTGTCTTTAGTGCTTAATTCTTAGAATACTATTTAAGTGTTTAAACGAAGTCATTAAATCATGGATACTCTAATTGTAAGTGTGGCAGAAAAAGTCGAAATGATTTTTATTTATGGAGAAAGTGACTGATAGTATAGTTTTATATCGAGAACGTTTTCCTGATCGAAATACGCCTTCGAGAAGTACCTTTTACAGAGTTGTGAATGATTTCACTAACACTTGAAATGTGGAATCAAGAAAAAGAACTCGGCAACTGTAACTACGGAAGAAAAGGAAATTGCGGTATTAGCTAGCGTTGAGGTAAATCCTCAAGTTAACACTCGACGACTTGCAATTGACGCCGGAATATCGAAGACCAGCATTTTAAGAATATTAAAGCGCAACAAGTATCACCCATACCACATTTCATTGCATCAACAGCTTATAGAGGTGATTTTGAAAATCGATTAATATTTTGTCAATGGGCACAAGAACGAATGCGGTTGGACGTCAATTTCTTTGGTAACATTTGTCTACTTTTACAAACAAAGGACAAGTCAATAGACATAACCATGCACTATGGAAGCATTGAAAATCCGAGATAGTTGCGTGAAGTAGAATATCAACGACCTTGGTCGGTTAATGTTTGGTGTAGCATAATTGGTGATAAATTGATCGGTCCATACTTTATTGATGGTATGCTGAATGGGGAGAAGTACCGAAATTTTTTAGATGACGTCTTACCAACGCTACTTGTAAATTTGACAGACAAAATATGTGGCTGCAAAATGATGGGAGCACATTTTTCACATATTGCACTTGAAGCTATAGATCGGGATTATGCTGGGCAATGGATTGGAAGGGGAGGTCCAATTTCCTGGCCTGCCAGATCACCTGATTTAACAACTTTCATTTGGTTCGATTTTATGTAAAACGTACTCCGTCCAAGCGATTTTCAGCATTCTTCGGAAAATCCACATTTCAATCCGTCTCATATCATTAAGTTTCGTTTTTTGTACGTTTTTACAAATCGGTATCTAACATCCAGTGGAATTTGTTAGGAGTTTCTTCATTATTGTTAGGAGCCAATTGGTCCATATTTGTTTTATCTAAGTCAGATGATGCTCAAGGTGACTCCCCTTTTTAATGTGAAAGTGATATGAGCAGATTTACTAGAATTTATTTTTACTTGTCACTGTTCTAGCCACTCTTCCATGAATACTAAATGACATTGCAGGTGTTGAGACGCCTCTTCAAGAGATGCATGAGTAGCAATGATGGTGTTATTCGATAGTAAAAGCGATTATCCGTCATTATGTTTTACATAAGTCAGATATCGTCGCACTAGCGTCCATACAGAGTAAGGCAGATTGGTTTTTAGTTTGGCGATAAGACTCTCATGGCAAACTCTGTTCAAAGTCTGTGATACGTCTAAGTAAGCAGCTGATCTGACTTCTCTGTAGACTTATTCAATCGTACCACGTTATTTTATAAGTCCAAATTGATAATTAACGATTAGTTTTATTATCTATTATGATAAGATGTTACATAGTCTGTGTTTTTGTTAGATTTCAACACTATGGTTATCTAGACAATTTCCATTGTATTGGAAAAATTCCAAGTCTTAATTGGTTAAGAACGCCGGTACAAAGAAAATGGTGAGAATTATTTGTCAGTGCTTCTTGGAGCTCGAGGACTGTCAGTGCTCTATCACAGCTACATCAGTAGACACGTAATATAAGTTACAAATTAAGAATATATTGTGTGCAATTCAAGAGGCGGTGAACCCTGGATGCACATATAAAAACTCACCTATTACGAAACGTAAAACTATTGTTTGTTGAGTTGATTTGAGCCTGTTTCTGATCGACTTGAAGATCCTGCTTCAGTATCATCCAAAATACTATATCTTGAACACTTTGTAACCCTTTCTAAATTAGTGAATATTCGTCAAATACATAAACATTCTCAAAATGTTTAATTCTATTCATAATCACCCATTTTTCACAAATTGCTCATCCTAAGTGTTTTGTGTAGTGTTTGATACCTAGCCTGAATCTGATAAGATGTGTAGTTATATTAATATCACGAAAATTGTCAAAAATTTTTTTATAAAGCTAAAACTTGAATAATTGCATGATTAGTGGTGGTGGACCGGATATCCGACAACTATCTATTGTGGAAATATCACCAATTATTAATTGAAGTATCCTCTTTTTAATGCAACAAGCCGGTTTGAAAAATCGCTTTTAGTTTTTGAGATATAAATTATTTAAATGATCGACAATGTTTTCGAATTTTGCAATTTTCGCCGATTAAGTTTTAAAAATTCGCATAAAATCCATTTCTTGGAATATAAGTAAGAAAATTTCCCAAAGTGTTACTAAGAGTGTCTTCTTTCCAATGAACCAACACGTTTTGAAAAATAACTTTTAGTTTTTAAGAAAACAATATTTGAAGTTTTGATAAAATTTTCGACGTTGGAATTTTCATCGATATTTTTCGAAATTCGCTAAAAAATTTAATTCTTGAAGGATCCTTGTGGAATTATCACCAGTTATTAATTAAAGTATCCTCTTTTTAATGCTAAAAGCCGTTTTGAAAAATCACTTTTAGTTCTTGAGAAGTAAATTTTTGAAATAATCGACAATTTTTTTCGAATTTTGCAATTTTCGCCCATTAAGTTTTAAAAATTCGTATAAAATCCATTTCTTGAAATATGAGTACGAAAATATCTCAAATTGTTAATAAAAGTGTCTTCTTTCCAAGTTTTGAAAAATAACTTTAGTTTTTGAGAAAACAAAAATTCGTGAGTTAAATCAGCATCAAGAAAGTTCATTGTATCTTGGATCCAAATAAGTTGACATATCTTATCAGCTTTCTTATTAATTCCATTTTTATTCAAATTTATGTTAATGACAACAAAATGTTTAATATTACTCGTTCAGTTTATAATTGAACAAAATTACAAAACAATTCAAACAAGTTTTATAACTACTGAATGAGAGACTTTTTTGCGTAACAAATCTGTGGGCTTTGATGGCCGCCCAAGATCTTAGCGTTCTCGTTGTCTCTAAACTGCTTTTTTCCGCCCATATCCATTATGTCCATTATGTTAACAAGGCCGTTTGCCTCTTCGAATAATCAACCTTTCCAGTACTCGTTTACTATATTTGTCTTTGTATTCTTTACCCTTAATTATATATTATAAAGAAACCTTTTTTTACAATAAAAAAAATATAAATTAATCTTACCTTTTAAGATATAATCGGTTAAAAGAGTCGGTACAGTTGGACTATCTTCATTAATAGCTTTCAAAACTGCAACAAAAGAAATCAATTACTTTCTCGATAAAGAAATAATTTTCTTTTCGACTTACTTTTAATTAAAACTTGTAATGTTTGGTTATCAGCTGGTCCACTATCTAAATGGTACGGAATTACGGTCGTTAAATATTTCGGATCTAATCCGTTGGACAAACGAACTCCATTACTCTTCGAACTCCGCTTCTTTTCGACGTGATATTGACGCCGTTTATTTTGCACGGCCAACAGTAACGAAATGAACGTGTTCTTTAACTCTTTCTCGTACTCCAATTCGTCTCTTAAAGCCAATTCGCTTATTAGCGTCTCGGAAAATTCCCTAATCAACACTTCCAACTCCATGAATAATTCGTTTAATTGGGAAAGTGATAAATCTTTTAATTCTAAAAAGAAAAACTCGTTTGTGGTCATTTCCTTTTAAAGATTACAACGTAAGTGAGAGTGAAAGTGAAACTATATATTCTTTTTCGATTTAAAATTCAATTTTTGGTTTACTTACTTTCTTCATATAATGGGGAACTTAGCACCTCTTTAGCTTTCTCCAAGGTTTCGTTTGGATCGGTTAGAGAGTCTCGCGATCCGGGGGATCGTTCCAACGAAGACGTTTCTTCTTGCATCATATCGTCGATTTCCTGGATAACTTCTTCGGCTGTTTTTAGTGGTTCCGCATCTTGATGGAGCCCACCCAAAATTAAAGCGTGCATATCTAAATCACTAGCGACTGCTTCGTCCTCAGAGCTTAATTCTAAGTCGTCATCCGGTGTCATCGGTTCCTGTAAAGAGATTTCTTTTATTATTACAATTCTATTTAAAGAATTTTAATGACGCAGATACTTTTAAATATAAATCTAGAGCGGCGTATTTCTCGTTTTAGTAATAGAAAACCCACATCGGCCACAACACGATGCGATGATATCATTTAATTCTCGAGAATTGTCGTTTTCCTGATTAAAAAAAGTCTGCCGCATCTGTTTAAATTGTAAAGTACGTGACCTCCATTGACATTAATAAAGATAAAATAAACCGATGCGGTCTTTTAAACACATTTAAAAGTTTAAGGAGGCATTTGTAAAGATGATTACTTAAATTTAAACACTTAGTTTTTTGAAATTTAATTTAAATTCGTTAGAAATGTTTATTTAAAACGGTCTCCTTGATTGGAGTGTTAAGGGTTAAGGTGAAGTTCATTCCGTTTTAAAATAAATGAGTTGAGTTGGTGTTTCATGAATAAAATACAAGGGAATGAAAAATTGTAAATTATTAAGGAGTCGTTGTTAAAGTGGAGAAGTGGGTTTTGTAAACTTGACTAATCAAAACGGAAGACGTAGGATTTTAATTGCTCGATTTGTATTTTAAAAAATAAAGAACCGTTAAAAAATAGATAGGTTTTTATCTTTATTTGTCGATAAAATAACGTTTATCTATAAAGATAAGTGTTGTTTTCAATTTTGAGTTTTTATTTGATGATTATTTTCCTGCTATATAAAATTCATTTTGACTATGATTTAGCTTTAATTTTTGATGGGAGAAAGTAAGATTCAACTCAACGTGTTATTACAGGAGTGAAAGTGGTTTCGAATGAATATTTTAACACAACGTGTTTGACCCAACGAAAAAAAAGATTTTAACAAAATTAAAACTCACCTTGATCTCGTTTAGATTCAAAGCAGGCATGTGGAGTTTTCTTGCATATGATTTCGACCAATCAATCGGTAAAATATTTCCAAAATTTCCTGTTATGGTCCACCACATTCTAAAAAAAAATTCATTCTTAATAAATGATTTTATGCTTGTACTTATTCGTACATTGAAATGGGCTAACATAAATCACCCGGCACGTTGTAATTTATTACAGCACCAAGCTTCAATGCGAAGGTTCAATAAATTACGACGTTTAAGAGTTCTAAATAAAAAGAAAAGAACCATTCTTGAGTTTTATTGAAGTTTTTTAATATCTTTTTATTACACACATAAAATAATTTCTTTTCGTGACAAATAAGGTTTGGTTAGAAATGAACTAAATTCTTGATCGAATGAAATCGTTCCCATTTCATCAAACCGCAATTAATGATTCCTTTCTCATATTCACACTTGAATAGAGACTATCAAGTTGCAAACACGTAACGGAAACTCTTATATGAAAATTAATAGCGGCATAAATTTATGTCGGTCAGGTCAAGATGTCAATGTATCGGTATATGTAGAAACAAATTACATACTTTTAAGTGACTCATTTTATAAGAACATTAATTGTAAGTCATAAAACTCTAATAAGGCTTAAGCTACAAATGTTTTAAAAAATGTTGAAGTTGTTATTGAAAAAATGGCTTGTGTCTAAGGTGTGCAAATATCTTTTTGTTATTACTCCTTCAAAATTATTCCAACAAACTCAACAATATCATATTATCTCATCTACCTTGCCATAGCCTAACAGTTCTATTTCTTAGTTCTGCGGTGGCTTCTAGATATCTCTCATCTAACACATTCATCTTCAACAAGCCCTGCCGTGTAGAATCTCGTTACCAATTTACTCCACATGTTTCTAATATGCGTTTTTATATATCATGTCTGGCACGAATAGCAATTTTATCATGCTCTTTATTGCTAACTAAAAGTCCGGCAGTACTTGTTCGTTCTCTCCTCATAGCGTATTTTTTTTAGTTCTTGCTTAGTACTATATTATTTTATTTTTGTTCGGTTAAATATTCTTTATGCAAATCAATTTTTACAATTTAATTATACAAACGATAAATCACACAAAAATATTTTATTTGATTCGCAACGAACAAAAATACATTTTTAAATTAAAAAAACATGAATCTCAGGGAATAGAAAAATAAATTGCAGGTTCATGGAGACATCTATTAACTAAATTTGTAAATTTACGAACTAAACATAAAAACGAGTCTAAATAAATACGTCTGTGCAAGAAAGAGGTAATTCTTTTAGAAGAGTGTTGTTGTAGACAAAGCTTATACGCGTTAATTTTATGAGTGTCTTTTAAGATTGATTTTTTAATCGCGATAGTTATAAAAATTAAAGAATTCTGAAGAAACGGAATGGTTTAAACGAGGAACAGGTATACGATTCAGTTCAAGTAACGTTTGATTACCGGTAAAAGGAAATATGTTCACTTATCTTGTTTCTTTCCGGAGGTGTGACATGTCAGTTAAAAATGGCTGGCTGACCTTGATCTTGAGGGATGGGTATTCTTCGGTATTAGAAGTTTAGGAATCTCGATAAGTTTAGTTCTCGGGTCCTTCGGGAACAGGATGGAAAATTGGACTCGAACTCAGGTTGGTTTAGATTTCTTCGAAGATAATTCAGAAACACTTATTTACTTTTACTTGATAAAAAAAATTGAGATGTCAAAAAAAAATTCTAAGTTCAGACTTAGGTTAGAAAATTTAAGGTTAATTTGACATAGATTCGACAACGCTTGGCTCTAGCCAAATTTGAACTCAGTTGTCAATTTGCGCGGCCTTATATACCCTTTTTGAACAAAGGCTTCTTGGATATCCGAATTTGATCGTTTCAGTTTGAATCTGGGCTCTCTGATTGGTTGATTAAGTGGCGGGAGATATAAATTACACAGGTTGGCCAAAATAATTGATTTTTTTAAAGAAAATAACTATCAATTTTGAAAATATTAAATTATTAATAAACTTTAAATTTGATTAAGATTTTGTAATTTTGTAGCTAATTTTTCGTTTTTTTAGATAAACGCGCTTTCGGGTGTCAATTTCCTTCGAGAAAGTCGTAATTTGATGTTGAAGTTTGGAAATGAAGAATTGGAATTTAGATATAAAAAATGATACAGAAATGGATGAAATTGTGGCCTATGGGCTAAATCGATACAATCTATCTTTTTAGAATCTAAAATCGTCTGAAAAGTCGCCAAAATCAATACCTGTCAAAAATGTAAATGACAAGGTCAAATTTGAAGGTTACGGATATTCAAGGAATGACCTCTTTCTTGCACATCGCCCTAATTTTTCTTAAATCTAAACGAAAATCATAACAAAACGCACCTACTTAGCCTATTCTATAATACTAAAGATCTTAAATTTAATTAGTCTTTTCTGTTTCTTTGGAAACAGGGATTTCATTACAGTACTTATGTACACAATTGAATAGTTTAATTAGTGCATTTAGTTTGCTATTTACTCTTTGTTATATTTATTGCTTTCCTTTAGTGTTCTGCCTTGTCTTATGATTAAGTTTGCCTCTGTAAAAATCAGATCATTACTGTTGGGGTTCTCTACATTTTCGGACTTTGTGTTGGAACAAGATTTTGATGTTGTATTGGTGTCTGAAACTTGGATATCGGATGATTTTATGTTGACAGCGTGTCACATTCCAAATTATTATTTTATTCATCTTTATCATTAATAATTTGGTCATGACAAAGATGTGATTTGATGATTGCATTACCGATTTTGGAAGTCCAACTTTTTCTTTCTTCGTGTAAATAATTGCTTAATTAAATTTAGCAAGTCAAGTTAAATGTCATAGAGCTGTTATTAAGTTGCCACGCTCTTAAAGTAGATTCAGTTTATACCGATTTTCATTTCCATTACATATAACATAAATTTTTGTCGTAAAACCAAAACTTTCCCAAAAATTTATGGTTGAGTTTGGCTGAGCATACTCCCGATATTGGAAAACCAATAGGTTATGAGTTATCACCCAGCTCTATTATGTCTTCTTAAATAACTGCAACTTATGTACAAGAAGGTAGACGAATAAATCAGCTGTTCTTGAATTATGTCAGATTTCTTTTTAAGAGGAAACAAATTACGCTTTCCATAAGTTTTTATTTCTTATTATAGGTAATTCATAACTTATTAACAATTTCTTATTTATGATATCAAAAATATGTTTTATTGGGGGGGTAGAAGCTGTTGGGTGATGCAAGTTAATATCGGTCAAGTGGACCTCATCCTTATCCAGACACTGCAAAGCTCCCTCTCCATTAAAGCGGCGCGATTGATCGATTTTGCAGATTATTACTTGCGCAACGAGTCTGTAGTCGCTTTATACAAAGTTCCCTCTCAATAAGCGATACCTCATCGAAAATCAATCAAAATTTAGATTAACTCGGAGTCAATTATAAGCGATATGTGATCCAGACTACTTTTCGCTCCAACCCTTAAAGAAATTTATTTGGAGAAAGTCTGTTTTTAAGGGGACGAAGCAAAGAGTTATACAGGGTGAGCTACAATGTAGATTTGAATAAATTGTTTTATCTATGTTAATAACATTAATGTATTCTTCCTCCTTCTTAAGCTCCTTTTTGTTCTCTATTGCGTTGATACAAATCATTAATAAACATTTGCAAGAGAAATACGAGCTTATTAGGTATTTGAAAAATCTTACCACAATGTTGGACACGATTTTGGCAAATTGGGATTCATTAAGCAGTTTCTGGGCTTCGATTTCCAACCGATAATTTTGAATAAATGCTTCAGTTCTATATCCTAAAGTTCATATCAGTTCTATATCTTGTGTTTTTGCCACATTTTGCTCAGATGTGTATTTATCATTTCTCTTTAATCCAACATATACAAATTGCTTCTTAAAAAATCGTGCTTTGTTAGCACAAATCTCACATGTAGTCTGAATTTGAAGCAATTTGTGTTTGTCTTGCCATTAGCTTAAGTCTGATTCAGTCATTCTATATGGCAATGTGGTTCACAACATCCGCATTGTTAATGTTGAAACTTTTCAACTTGTTTCCAAATTATTTTATTAAATTTATTAAATAATACATGGAATCCAAAAGATGTTATATCAACACATTTAAAAACATAATAATAAGGGTTGTTGAACTTTTGAAGAAAAGAAAATAAATAATTCATTCTAAGCCAAGTTACTATAAACGTTATCAAAAACTTGTTATCTTTATATAACCAGTATTTATAAAGTTTATCTTCCATTCAAGTCTGAAAGTGTTATGACGGTGACTCACTGAGAATTTTCCCAGTTACAAATTTTCCTGTAAATTTAGACATTAACCTTTAAAAATAGGGTTCGAACGCTCTAATTATCGGAAAACCGTTTTCGCAAAGTTTAAAGAGCTTCATTTTCGATGGTATTTAAAGCTAAAGTCAACATCGTAGACGTGAATATTCTTCGTCGGAAGGTAAACTATGTCGTGTAACGTAAAGAGGGGGATATATTGAGTTTCGGGATACTTTGTTAGTTTTGGGGTAGACTTTGAGGCGACACAGGTAAACTTTCAACCAAAGTTATTGATCTGAAACAGCCCAAACTTAAACGTTACTGTCAGTTTAAGTTCAAATTCGAAACGTTTCGTGTCACGATTTTTTTTCTTTGGCTCCACACGCTATGTGACGACAGCTTTATATTTTCGGTGAACGTTACCGATGGTCTATTATTAGATTTGAACGTAGAGAAAATCTGATTCAGATGTTGTGTTCTTTTAATGTGGGAGTTTACAGAAACGTCTAATTCAAAAGCTAGAACCACATTTCCTTTTCTTTTGATATACAAAAGAACCACCTGTCGATGTTGCGTCGTCATCTTTGTTGTTTGTTCTTTCTACCTGCTTAAACAGGCTTTATTTAACCCAAACAAAACCAACCCTTTATAAACGATCGACTCAAAAAACCCAGCATTTTATTCTTCCTCTTATTTAGTTTTTCAACTACATTTTATTCATGTTGTATCAAACTTTAACATATATAATCAGAATAATATTTATAGTGATTTCACAAGAAAAATAAATAT